AGAACAGATGGAGTGAGGAGCAAAAGGAGGCGGTGAAGGTGACTCCTCCAATAAAACGGAGAATACTTCTCACCATGGAGACAGCTGAAGAGTCACAAAACATAAATATTTTCCTTGTGTTGTTTTACATAAGAGAAATCACCGTGCTTGTTCCGAGGACATTACATAATCCCAGACAAAAGACAACAGTTTCTCATCACCACTTCAAGAAGAGGTTTTCTTAGGACTCTTCCTGTTCATTTGTCCTGCACACTGGATAAACCATTGCAAAGAGCTAATTAAGAATCTATCACCCCTGATTGCTCCTACTTGTTGAGCAGCTGTATTACTTAAGCATAGGCAAAAAGCTCAGATGTCAGTGCTGGCAATGGTAATAAAAATTGTCCATTGAGTGAGACACATCTTAAAACTGGTTGAAGTTGAATGTGCCGAATGCAACTGCAATGTTTTGGTCTGACTTTGTTTAGAACGGAAGCAATGATGGGTTGCCACCATGCACTAATCCGTTTGAGAGAACCTGTAGCATTGTATTTGCCCTTACAACATCAACCAGTATGAGTGCTTTGTATCTTTTAGGGACAGACTCCAGAGCAAACAAGCAAGCAGAGTCCTCTGAAGTGTGAATGGTGCAATATGCATAGAAATATGTAACTCCGCACACCATATCATAAACCGAAACACCCAGTTATTGGCTAAACTATCTGGAGATAAAATATCTTAAGGTATGCTTGTCATTGCCGAACTTTCCTTTAGTCTGAACAAACTTGTTTGGCAGAGTATTCTATGATGCTGTTGAAGAGATGGTCCCTATAGTCTCCAGTGACAAGTTCACCATACTATGGCATTTGCAAATGTAGAAGTGGATAGTTCACCTTGACAGCAGTTTCTGCGGTGACGAATTTGCCTTAGATCCAGCTCATTAGAACAGCTCGATGTGAGGAAAGATGGTAAAGTTAGATCTATGAATATAGATTCAAATTAAACTCTGATGTTAGTTGCAGCTTCCTGCAAGGTTATGCCAGGAATGAATTTCATTCCATCTAGCTAGCTGTTGTGCCAGCAGGATATACTTGATGAGGGGAAAAAAAGTAGAGATATCTTTAGGTACATCTAATTGATGATTTTGCACTGCTGACAGGCTCTAGTGAACTTTGTCAGATGTGCAACCAATGCAGGAGTCCAATTTCTCCATGACTGCAGGCAGGAAGGTCTGCAGCTCAGTATCGGGAGATCTGGAAAGGGGTTTCATTCCAAGGGGTATTTTTCCTGATTCTGGAAAAGTAAACTTTGTGTGGGCTGGCTGGTGGTCAAGATCTATTGTCCTGATTAGATAAATATTTTGGGCAGTGCATGCTAGTGCAGGTAGCAGAGATTAATGCTACCACTGAGCATTTCTGTATCATACCTATCATAGCTCTCATGGCACTTTTCACAGGAGGCCAGCATCCTCTGATACACAGAGGAGAACTGGAGCTTAAATCCTCAGCATCGTGTGGATTCTTACTAATGCAGGTGCCTTTCTAGGATAGAAACACATAGAAACAGAAGGGTGTTTTCCTGCAGAGGTTTGAAAGGAGAGGGGCAAAAATGGAGTTGCATAATTTCACCACACCTTTAAAAATAATACCATGTTTGCAACATATTTGGAGTGACTGTAACCTTTTCTTCATAGGGGTTTAGTAGTTCAGCGTATCTACCAGACAGCCCCGGGGAATGTGCAGCTGGGGACATTTTCAGTAGTGTGCATTAATTATAGCGTATCACTATTTATCTCATTTACATGCATTGAAAGGAAATGGCTGCTTTTACTACAGTGCCCCATTGTGCCAGGGGCTGTGAACACCCATCTAAAGACAGGATCTCTGACTCCTGAAGTTTACCCTCAAATGTGAGATGAAAAGGGTGGTGGAGGGGAACAGAATCAAAGTACACACGATATTAACAGTAAGTACTTACATATTTGTAGTTGGCTTGGCACAGGCAATTTTTCAGGTCAGAAAGATTGAACTCTGTGAGATTAAAACGTTAGGTATTACTGTGCATAGCTCTTTCCAGAGGCAGTTAGATTAGCATTTTTTCACTAAAAGCAGGACACATAGTGAGCCTGTGTACTGTGAGATAAGCTGGTTTTATGCTGCAGAAATATATCTGGGCATTTAAAACACCTCAGTCAGACAGGAATGGGCATACTTTAAGCAGTTTCACCTTCTTTAAGACATATGAAATTTCAATATTGGTTTTGAAGACAACCTGAAGAATAATCCTGAAATGGGAAATATTTTATTCTGATTAAATATACTTTTTCCCCATTATTAATGAAAACAGTTATTCTGACAACTAACAAATCCATTAAAAAAATGTGTAAGTGAACAGCCAGAGGTGATTTTAAAAGAACTGTAAACTTATATTCAAACAACCATGCCATGCTAGAATGGGGAAGGGAAGAAAACATCTTTGTCTTGGAAAAGGAGCTGAAAAACATCTTTGTCTTGGAAAAGGAGCTGACTTGCACACTTTGTCTAGTTATTATGTATTATTGCATCTTCATATCTGTTTAAAGCGGAGCTTAATGACTGCTATATCAACTTAAAAGTTCAGTCACCTGCCTTGCCCCCATTTGGATCCACAACGTTAGTGCGAGAGGGAGAGAGCTGCGTGGGTGTGCATCACGAGGATGCTGAGAGGGGAACACTGCGCGATGCTAACTGGCAAGTAGGAGAGTTGTAGTTGAAGCTTCTGACGGCATCCAGCTGTGCCCAGGGTATGGCCAGTCATTCCCACATCTAGAAAGAGCACCAGGATGAGTGCACCTAGGGTGAGTGTGAAGCAGAGGCCTTTGTTTCCCAAAAAGTTAAAGCTGGGAATGCTGCTGAGCACCACCGTGACTCCCGCGGTCCTCCGGTGCGGAGATGCTCGTCCCATGCGGAGGAGCGGCGAGGGCATGTGGCGGATTCATTGCCTGACAGGAGGCGTGTGCAGTGGGTGCTGACCCTCGCCGCCCATCTGACCCCGTTATTTGTTGAAGGAGCTGACTTGTCTGGGAGGACTGGCAGGGACCGGGGTGCCAGATGGCATGTGGATGTGTGTTGTGTGTCGGCTGTCATTCAGCCAGATTAATGTGAAGTTTGTAAAAAGGAGGAGGGGGGGGGAAACAATTAAGCAAGAATCTCAAAAACAATCGAGGCCACGTGCCACCGGGCAGCAGTCGTTGGTGGCACAATGGGTTATCGGCTTCCCATGAATGGGCCCAACTGTTGCAAACGACATGAGCCTGCCCAGTTTTCAAATCATTTAATGCTCTTGTTTACTTCCAATCCAGCCAATCTCTGGGCCGGGAGAGCCGTCACCTGATAGTCTTTTTATGTATTTAAGTCCCAGGCCTCACAAAATAACTGAACAGTGGTAACCATGGCAATGCTAATTATTGCACTATAACTACAGTAGAAGAAAGAAAACAGGGTAGGCTGGGAGAGAGATTTGAAGATGTTTTTTTGGCCAGGATTTGAGCTCTTGGCTCCTCGTCAGGTGTTGGGGTTTCTTTTCCTTTTCTTCTTTTCAAAAATCTTTTTACAAACAAATAAATTACATTCTGCTTTAAAGATCTCCCAGATAATAGTTTAGGGAACTTTGATACGTGTTTCTGGAAATCATGAATAGAGGAGCTGAAAGCTCCTGGGCAGCCAGGCACTAGAGTTCTGCCTTGTTCTTTTAAGCTGATTTAGAATCCTGTAAAACATAAAAGATGCTTCAGCAAGAGACCAGATTTATTTAAGGCTTCTGCATCGTCATTTGGCAACAAACACACGTTAGTACCACACAGCTGGCTTTAACATATCTATGAGAGAGCTCTTTAAAGCCTTTGTTTTGAAAGCAAAATCAGCTACATCCAACTAAACTATGTTCCTCTGAAAGAGAAAGATGTTTTCCTGGACCTGAATCCTTGGGTATCTAATGATAATGTCCTAACATGTTCTAATTACTGCTTTACTCCTCAAGATACCCATGACTTCTTTAATACTGTTTAACATAAGTAAAAGTAGTTTAGCCCTTTATTTGCAATAGTTCTTTTATTGACTTTAATTGGAGTTTTGACCACACAGGAATTTTTGAGTACTGTAAATATATTTCAATATTTCCATTTTGTACCATGCACTATCAGAAGCAAAATAAAACAAGTGGGATGGAGCATACAGAATGTATCAAAAACGGAGCTTTAAACCAAAAGCAGCCTGTCATCGTTACACCTCAGTTTTGTCAGCTAAAGGCAGGCTGGAAGTTATTGTGCATTCAGTCACTAGCTTTTCATTCTGATCATTTAGTATGTCAAAAACTGCCTAAAAAATATGTTTCATGTGCTTCATGGTTCCTTGTTAAGTGTCAATAACTTCATGGATCTGAATGGAGGAGATCACCAGTTCATTCTGTAAAGTTTTGTTTATGCAGCAACTCTCCGCTGATCCGTCCCCACCGATGGGATGCAGTGGCTGGGAAAAGCCCTCCCCGGGTGTTCAAGCCAGCAGCACACACAGGTCCTTGAGGAACTAGGTGCAGAAAATCCTTCCAAGGCTGCTTCGTCACTGGATTTCAAGGTCAATGCAAAATTGCCAGGTTAAAAGTACTGACAGGTTTCTTCTACATCAAGGCCAAACAAGTGCAAATTTCTGACAAATGTGAAAAAAACTAATCAGCTCTGGTTTTGTTTCTAGGCAGTTTCTCTTCCGGGTTCTTATGCCTTCTTCCCCTACAAATACTGCACAAGAAGGTTTTTTTAACTACAATGTTTCAAATTGTACAAAGGAACACATGATTATGTAAAGGGCAGAAGTAACCAGCCAGCTGTGAAACCAAAGGTCGCATCTGAATTCTGCAAATGGAATTCCAGCCTGATGTGTTTTCCCTGCTGACCTACGTGAGCTTTGGCATCCCAGTCATCTCCCCTGTTTCCAGGGACAGCGTAGCAGCATCTCTGCTCTCTACTAACCTTTCATGCTATTTTGCAGACTCTTAGCTTCTGGCCCCTCCCAGCTGAGTGAAGATGACCTCCCCAGTGACTTACAGTCCTTGTCGTGGCTGACATCTGTTGATGTTCCTCGGTTACAACAGATGGCCAGTGGAAGAATGGATTTTAGCCTCAGTGCCCAGAATGCAGTGCTACAACAGACAGGTAAACTGCTAGGATGTTAAATAACTGCTCTTTGAACAACACAGCCTACTGCCTCCTTTCTTTTCCCTCACACAGGCTACCTTTCCTATTAGTAGATTCCTTTTAAGTGCCTTACATTTCGCTTCCTGTCAGAAGACCTGGAGCCTGTTGTCTTCTGATAAGGCTACTGCTGATACATTTCCTTCATTTCAAGAGGCAGAGAGCCCTAGCAGTCACGACAGAGATCTTTGGATCTGATTGGCTTTTCTGCTCGGTGTAGTTGCTGGTGCCTTGTTGCGTGGACTTGGGCCAAGGTATTTAAGACTTGCATTTCAGAGGTTTTCAACAGCTTTGAAATTAGGTAATTAGCCTTTCTTGTTTGTTTCAACATTGATAAAATTAAGAGTATCTTATTTACCCCATACCTGTTTGCTTCATACAGACTTACAGCATATGTTCATTGAATGCCTTTCTTTCCTTTGTGAACATCCTTTAGGTAAACACACTTGTTCCCGAAGGCATTCTGCTGAGAGAGCTCAGCGTATCATCTTGCTTGCTTTAGACCAGAAATCCTCTGGAGTACGGATAGTGCCGAATATGTTTTTTTTTTTTCTTTTGTAAGATACCGTGTCTGTAACACCACTGTGGACTGTTAAACAGCTGTCGTCTTTCATTCCCTGCATAACAAGTTTTAGAAGCAGCTGACGTCGTCTTTGGAATTTGTGAAATGCTCTGAGTTCTTTTGGGATGGAAAGCCACAGAGAGGTGTGATTATCCACTCCAGAGCTTAGCTGTGTTCAACTGCGTTTATTAAAAATGAATGCCATCTCTCTTTTCTAAAGTGTACTTTCATGCGAACATTCACTGCCTTTGCTTTCTCCAAAATAGGCCCTGTAGCAAGCAACATGCACTCGACAGGAGCACCTGGAGCAATGATTCATGTCCAGGCCAGCCTGCCACAGGGAATCCTGGGACTGAATTCTATTTCAACACACGGAGCAAATGTAAGAGCAGGCCTCGATGGCTTATTATTGCAACACTTCTTAGGAGAAGATGTTCGTAATTTCAAGACTGACACATCTGTTGTCTTTATCTCAGCAGATGAGCCAGTATGCTGTAGGTGGGCAGCCATCTCCTAGTTTACAAACACAGCAACAACTCTTTCCTCCTCACTCACAGCAAGTGTTTGCCCTAGCACAGAACACACAACAGGTACTGTTATTTGCTTGTCGTCTGTGTCTTCAAGTACCTGCCAAGATCATATCTAAAACTATTTTAAAAGAAAACCAAAATATCCCTAAACGTACATACCTACGGATATTTTGCACCTCGCATTTTCCTTCTTTTCATTCTGCATATAGTGTAACCCAGCAGCAATCTACAACACATCCTATGGGACCCAGCCACACTATTCTCAGCCACGCCTGGCTCCTCACTCTGCCCAAGAACTGCATCCAAAGCATTACCCCAAGCCGATCTATTCATATAGGTAAGTAGAGAGCAGAATGGCGTGTTGCCTACAGCCTGCATTGGGATGACTGTAATGCTGTAGGTGTGATAGCACGAGAGTGTTTGATTCCTTTTTGAAGGGAACAAAAATCCTGTCATCCGCCCAGGAGTTCTGTGGAAGCTGCCTCTGAGAGGTAGCAGGAATGAACAAGCGAAATAGTTCCTGGACGTCAGCATAAAGGTAGAGTAATACCAGAGAGGAGTAAAATCTGCAGGATCACAGGGTGACTTCTGAGCACTTGAGTACAGTAATCCCTTAATCAGCCAGTTGAGGTTGCTAGACCAGAAGAAGGCATACGATGGCTACGTATATGCAATCTGTTGTTATTTCCTGTATTTCTCTGTCCTCTAGTTGCTTGATTGCAATGGCGCTGAAGAACAGCAAAACAGGCAGTCTCCCAGTGAGCGAGATCTACAGCTTCATGAAGGAGCACTTTCCCTA